GTGTGTGTGTGTGTGTGTGTGTGTGGAGAGTGTGAGAGAGAGAGCAAGCTGTGTGGAAGAGCTGCTGCTGCGTGGAGGAGCTGTGCCTAGGAGCCACGTAGAGGGCCGTATGGTGAGAGAGCTGTGGAAATGAGGTACACAGTTGTGGCTGTGTGGAGATTTGTGGCTGTGTGGAGGAGGAGGGAGCTCTAGCTGCAGAGAAAAGAGATGCAGAAGAGAAATGTGTGTCAAAGAAAAATGTGTAGCCACCATGTGGAAATGGATGTAACTGTGTGTGAGATGTATGGCATGCAGGAGAGAGATGTATGTAAAGAGAGACATGTAGCTGTATGTAAAGAATGTAGCTGCATGGAGACAGAAAATCTCAGACAGGATTGTTTAAGATTTTTGTTTGTTTGTTAAGTCAAAGAGAAAGTTTCCATCAGAAAGTGTGCTTCTGTATTTTCTCCTCAGAGAGAAAAGTCTAGCCCTTGCTGCCTTCATGGAGTTTTTTGCTACCCCGGTGCTGATTGGAGATTGCCCTCCCCACCCCAGTTATCAACAGAGTTTTAAGAGAAAATCAACAGGGTAAGAAAACTGCAACCCATTCAGCTGGGAGGAGGGGTGGCCATGCCTTTTGTGAGCAGCCACATGAGGCAAAGAGAAGTGGAATTCAGGGAATGAGAACGTCTTGAGCACCAGGGAGGGCAGGCACCGGCTCTGGAAAAGACAGAAGAAAACTGAAAAGGTACAGTTTCCTGAGATTAATTCAGAAGAGAGGCCAGGATCCGCTGAGCTATCGCAAGGCTCAGTAAGCCACTAAGTGGTTCATTTTGGAATACATATCTTCAATTAAAGGGGCAGATTAGTTATCAGTACTAAAACCTACCATCTCAGGGGCTGGAGAGATGGCTCAGAAATTAAGGGTCTTGTTTCTCTTGCAGAGGACCAGGTTTGGTTCCCAGCACCCATTTGGTAGTTTAACAACCACCTGTAACTCCAGTTCTAGGAGGAACTGACCTCCTAGAACTAGTACCTAGTATGTGGGTACTGCACAGACAATGCACATACATGCATGTGGGCAAACACTCCTACATATAAAATAAATAAATCTAAAACAAAAAAAAAATTCTGCCCTCTCTCCTGGTGGTTGTGGCTTTACAAATCACACCTGTTTTACAGGCCTGTGTAGCCAAAGTGGCAGAACAGTTTCTCAGTCACGCAAGAACCACTGGCCTAGAGCATCCTTTGGGTGCCCGAGTGCCGTCATCAGTCACAGTCCCCCAGCTTGAAGAAAACCAGGCTCCACCACTGTGCCTATTCACTGTGAATCAGTCTTTATTCTGCACGTGTGGCGCATCAACAAGTCAACACAGCAGACAGCGTTACATACTGCAGGTTAGCGTCACGGCATTATGCAACTTCACACAGTTCGTGTTAGCTTGTTCTGTTTTTTTTTTCTTTTTAATTTGACACTTTTATTTTGAGTTTTATTTTTACAAGAGAAGACACAAGGTAAAGAAAGACAACCTGTTTGGAGAGGGATTGTGGTGAGGGTAATGTCACTGTCATGACCAGTACTGAAAGTCTTCCATATCCCTCCCCTGGGTAGGTCACCCTGGTCCCATACAGCAATTCTCTCTAGCACAGCAGATTGCGGCTGTGCACTGCTGAGAACGCAAAGAAGGAAGAACTCACAAGGGAGCTGTTGATAATGGGAATAATTCTCATAGTCCCAAAGAGTCAAGAAATCTACATAGGACTGGCTGCTGGGAAATCGGGAGTGACCTTTCCCTAACCTATTCCTAACCACAAGTGCCTTGTGCAAAAAAGCTAAGATGTGACTCTCTTGTCTGTCTCTCAACTGACAGGAAGAGGCAGTCTGCCTCCGCCCACATCAGTGAGCTCTGTGAAGAACAGATGTGAAAGCCAAAGTCAACTAAGAAGCTTTCGGACACGCTGGATCAGGCCTGAGGTAGGAGGAGGGATCCTGCGCGGAGGCAGCCCCGAGCCTGGGGAAGTTTCAGCTCCCTCCACCCCCACCCCACTGCTCAGTAGACCCAGAGGTTGCCAGGGGTTGAGCTGCGGGGAGATGGGGAAGGGAGGAGGGGTGAGGCTGTTCCCGACTTCTCAGGAGGAGCTACAGAGGCACACACAGCAGGTCGGAGACTGGACTCCACCTGTCACTTAGCGTTGCTTCAAGGAAGGAGATAAAGCTGCTGAGCGACTTCTGATCTTTACACATTAAGGCGACGAAGAGGAACCATTTCGACTTTTTTCCCTAATGGGGCTTAGAATGCTCCCGCCAGGTTTTCGTTAAACTATGTCAAAATGCCTTTTTAGAAAACAAAAAGTATTGTCTCCTACGTATGATACAATATTTACATTCCATGGGTTAAAGGGCGGAGACTGTAGTGGTGTGACCCCAGCTGATGGCTGGACACTGAGTCAGATCACGGGATACAATGGTGGAGAGGGACAAGGGCAGAATGGGTTTCCCTGCCTATACAGGGCCGTCCGCGTTGCCAAGAATCCCGCAGGGGAAAAGCAAAACAGACAAACAAACAAAACAAAAAAATGAAAGGATGAGTATGTGTGTGTGGGGGAAGAGTGGATTCAAATCTACAAGCACTAAGGGACACCAAAGGCAGTGTCACCACCCTCGCCATGGAAACCAAGCTGGTCATTCCACCTGTTCTCAGAAGCAAGCTGGAGAGTGATGGTCCTATAGGGAAGGGGGCACTTCAGTCACAGACAAGCTTTCAGGCCCTGGATCAAGCTGTGTCTTACTTGGCTCAGGCTCACCTTTCACTCCTGAGTCCCATGCGAGACTTGAGCTCCAGGAGCCCGCCCAGGCTCTGCACTGTCCTGCCCAGGGGCAGAAAGACGGAGGACTTCACCGTGGGGTGTGACTCTCTGCTGAGGAGAGCGTGGGCCCTGAAGGCATCCACATTATCTCACTATTCAGCCCCACTCAGCTTTCTTAAGAACCATTACTGTAAACCTCAGGGAGCAAATCCTGAGGATGCTGATGGAAAAGCAACTTCCATCAGCATCGACAGCATAAGGGGATGCCAGAGCTTCTGCAGGGATTTTATCTCCTTCCCTGTCCCCTGACCTGCACGTAGCATTCGGGATCAGCTGGTGTTCAATGGTACTTCCCTTGGGCTGAAGCTGAAGTCTCCAAAGCTTCCAGAGAAATCAGCAAGTCCTAAGTCCGGTTCCGCCTCCCAATCCCGCCATGCTGTTGCTAGTCACTGGCGGCCTGCTGCTCCTTTATGGTAAGTGGCTAACACAGACACCCCATTCTCAATTACTCTTTCTCCTGCAAACCCCACTTGTTCCTCTGCTTACTCCAGACTCTGGACTTGAAACTCGGCCAAAGAGTAGAGACCTGAGAGGTGATAGAAAAAAGGATGGAATGATGGGAACACGGGGTTTTACAAGAGTAGACTTTTCTTCTGCTATGATGGGAAACGGGAATAACCCAGAGAAGCCTGATAGGAGGAGGCCAATTTCAGGAGATCAGCAAATACAGTTCGGCACAAAACACAATTTTCATGGATTAAAATCTGCAACTTGATATCGGTTAGGCTAATTTCTTGTTTGTATTAGACATGCAAGTATAAGGTTACATTGTTATATATAGACTGTGGGGTCTTTCCTTCTCTCCCCCCATTTTAAAAACAAAAGATCGTCTAGTGCCTTGCAAAGAAGAGAACACTTCTCACGCTAAGAACCGACCTGCAGTGGTGTGCAGTAAGATGCTCTTTGTGTGGTTTGTTTTGTAAGAAATTTTCTTCTACGACTAAAATGAGGTTTTGAGTCAGCTTCTCTGTTATCTCTCCCCGCCGTGTGCCTCCCCAGCCTGGCCCCAGGGTCGGAGGCAAGAAGGAGCTAGTACTCGCTCAGACTGTGCCACTTGGCTATGGGCTTGCGGGGACTCTCACAGACCTCTCTCCAGTGCTCTGCACCACTGGCTGTGACACTGTGTGCCCCCAGGATCAGCCTCCCCACCACCTCGTTCTTAGTAGTGCGATCGAAGTCAATGACAAGGAACTCAATGCTGACATCAGGCAGGAGGTCGGTGGGGATGTCATAGATGAAGGACTCATTGAAGACTGGGTTCAAAGTGCACTTCTTGACGTGGGTTTTCTTCTTGGCAATGCGTTTTCTGCCGTAGTAGACGTTCACCTTGACATAAGGATCTGGGGCCCCCAAAGAGAAGAAAAAGAGACAGGCCTATGACACAGTCCTCTGCTGTATGTCTAGAATCTAAGTCGCAGTCTTGACCCTTTCGGTGTCCCGTCTGATATTTACGTAATGATTCATAACAGCAGCAAGGTCACAGTTATGAAGTAGCCATGGAATACTTGCATGGCTGGGATCACCGTAACATGAGGACCCACTGGTTTAGAGGGAGGAGATTCTGTCCGTATCTTTGCTGACCATCAGGGCATCAGTGGCTGCACCTGACACGCATATACGTGAGTCTAGCTGCTTCAGTCGGGGCTGGGGAAACCAAGCAGGTGTGGAGTAGACCACGCACAGGTCTGAAGGAATCAGGAAGATCGTCCGGGGGGATGGGGACAGATACCGGCAGTCTTTTTCAACAATCTCACCGCATGCATGGGATTTAGAGTACCCTTGTTGGCTCACCCCAAGCACCACGGTGGCTGGGGAAGTCTACTGGCCTAGTCATGGGGAGGAAAAGTAGACAGAAGACTGGGTGGGCCCTGAAAGAGGGCAGGGGTCTGGACATGTTGGGATATGTCAGGGCCACAGTTGGATGGGAGTAGGGTTGGTTCAGACAGAGAAATGGGTTGAAGTAAATAGCTGCTACCTGAGAGACCGGTGATATCCATCTTCGGCAGGTGTCTGGCTTTGAGGACCACCACTGTCATCCTCTGTGCCACGGGCTGGTATGACAGAGACACCTGGAGTTCCCCTCTGCTAATGCACTTCTGCAAGGGAGAGACCTCAGGTGAGAAGCCTGGTGGGGGAGCAGGGACTACACAGATCTACAGGGGAGAGACCTCAGGTGAGAAGCCTGGTGGGGAGCAGGGGCTACACAGATCTGCAGGGGAGAGACCTCAGGTGAGAAGCCTGGTGGGGAGCAGGGACTACACAGATCTACAGGGGAGAGACCTCAGGTGAGAAGCCTCGTGGGGAGCAGGGACTACACAGATCTGCAGGGGAGAAGGAAGAGCCAGTAGGTGGATGTGCTGAGGGGCACGGAAGGGTGTGTATTCAGACCAGGTACAGAAGCATGGGAAGTCAGCCTGACTTCTGAAAGCTACGCTGGCTGATGCAAATGTTGACTCCTGTGCCTTCTTTCTTTCTGTTGGTGGTCCTGGGAACTGAATTTAGGGCCTCCTGCATACTACGCTGATATTCTACCCCTAGCTGGGCCTTTAGTCTCAGCACTGCCGAAGTTGATGCAGGAGTTTGAGGCTGCCCTTTTCAGCCAGGGCTGCATAGTGAAATCCTGTCTCAGAAAGAAAGAAAATAAGAGAAAGAAAAAAAAGAAAAGAAAAAAAAAGTGTTGACCAGGTGATAGTGACACAGAGTTAGGTGAATCTCAGAGTTCAAGGTCATCCTGGTCTACAGAGCAAGTCTCAGAGCATCCAGGGCTACACAGAGAAACCCGGTATTGACAGAAAGAAAGGCAGGCAGGCAGGCAGGCAGGTGCTCCACTGAGCTTCACCCAGGACACACACAACTCACTCACTCTCGTTTATTCTCTCTGCCACCACAGCATCTCTTATACCCAGACTGCTTCAAACTCATTATTCGTAGGCTTGGGTTTACTGCCCACAATAGATGTATACTGCCACACCTGGCTCTTTTTTCCTTTTTAAGATTTATTTATGTATTATGTATACAGCATTCCTTCCACGTATGCCTGAAGGCCAGAAGAGGGCACCAGACCTCATTACAGATGGTTGTGAGCCACCATGTGGCTGCTGGAAATTGAACTCAGGTCCTTTGGAAGAGCAGTCAGTGCTCTTAAACTTTGAGTCATTGCTTCAGGCCTCCCCCCCACCCCGTTTTTTTGAGACAGGGTTTCTCTGTGTAGCCCTGGCTGGCCTGAAATTCACTCTGTAGACCAGGCTGGGTTCCAACTCACAGAGATCTGCCTGTCTCTGTCTCCTGAGTGCTGGGAATAAAGGTGTGACTACTACCGCCCAACTAGTTTACTATTTTTTCTTTGTTTTTAATTCCATTTGTCTACTCATGTGTGTGTGTGTTTGTGTGTCTGTGTGTGTGTGCGTGCGCATTTGCATGTCGTGATGCACATGTAGAAGTCAGAGGACAGGTTTGTAGTCTTCTTTTTTCCTAGTTTTGCAGCATTAGTGTAGACCACCTGGTTTGGAGGCAAGCTCCTTCACCACCGAAACATCATCATGCCTTTTTTTCCTTTCTTTTTAGTCTTTGTTTCGTTTGCTTCTTTTCAAGACAGGGTTTCTCGCCAGGTGGTGGTGGCACAGGCCTTTATTCCCAGCACTACAGAGCTAGTTCCAGGAAGACAGGGTTTCTTTGTGTAGCCTTGGCTGTTCTGGAACTCTCTCTGTAGACCAGGCTGGCCTTTTTCACAGAGATCCACCTCTTTAGTACTGGAATTAAAGGCGTGGCCACCACTGCCCAGCTTGCTGGTCCTCGTTCTAAAGCAGTGGTTCTTGCCCTTCCTAACACTATAATCTTTTAATACAGTTCTGCATATTGTGGTGACCCCAACCATAAAATTATTTCATTGCTACTTCATAATTTTGCTGTTATGAATCATAATGTAAATATCCAAAATGTGAGGATATCTGATATTTAAACCCCAAAGGGGTCACGAACCACAGATTGAGAACCACTGTTCTAAGTGGAGAAGTAGTTCTGGGGATTTAATTTGGGGCCTTGGCATTCTTGGCAAGCTACAGCTTCCATTCAGCTTTTGGAAAAGAAAAAGAAAGTAACCCCTCTGGGAAATACCTTCTGACACAGTCAGCTGTAGGTGTCTTCATTAGCTTCAGTTCATTAGAATGAAATGAGGGGCTGGAGAGAGGGCTCAGTGGTCATGAGGACTGCTGCTCCTGCAGATGACAGTTTGACTCCCAGCATGCACGTGGTGGCTCCCGCCATCCATAACCCCAGGGAACCTGACATCATCTTTCACTTCTGACTTCCACGGGCACGAGGCATACATACGGTGCACACACAGGCAGAACATTCAAACACAAATGTGTGTGTATGTGTGTTTTTTTATTAGAAATCATTAGACCAGGAACTGGAGAGTTAGCTTGGAGGTTAAGAGCACTGGTTGCTTTAGCAGAGGACCTGGGTTCAATTTTCAGTACCCAAAAGGAGGCTTGTTGTGGATATCACTTTAACTATGTGAAGGTGTGTTACATTTGTTTAAGCTGCATTTGTTTAATTTTGTAAAGATGGGTTGCTGTTTCACCTTGCCTGCCTAAGGCACCTGACAGGTCTAATAAAAAGCTGAGTAGTGGTGGTGCACACCTTTAATCCCAGCACACAAGGAGGTAGAGGTAGGCCAATCTCTGTAGTTCAAGGTCAGCCTGGTCCAAGTTCCAGGACAGGGTCCAAAGTTACGGAGAAACCCTAAACTGAATGCCTAACAGCTAGGGAGGAGAGGGATAGGTAGGGGCTGGCTGGCAGAGAGAATAAATAAAAGGAGGATTCTAGGCTTGAGAGAGAGAAAGAATGAAGGAGAAAGAGAGGGACATGCCCAGGGCCAGAAGCCAGGCAGGCACCTGTCAGCCAGACATGGAATAGGACATACAGAATGAAATAAAGGTAAAAGCCCTGAAGCAAAGTGTAGATAATGAGAAACTGGTTAGATTAAGTTATAAGAGCCAGCGGGAAAAGCGTAAGATAAAGCTGAGCGTTCATAACTAATATTAAGTCTCCTTGTCATGATTTGGAAGTGGCCCAAAAGAAAGCCTGGTCTACATTTGGTGTTCCAATGTTGGGTCTGAATTTCTATATATGGCCTGAGAAAGCTGGGGGAAAAAAAGATACGGCTCCTTTAAGAGGCTCTGCCGTTGGCAGGGCAGTGATGGTGCACACCTTTAATTGCTAGTACTCGGGAAGCAGAAGCAGGCAGATCTCTGTGAGTTGAAGTTTCAGCCTGATCTACAGACTAGTTTCAGGACAACTAAGGCTGTTACACAGAGAAACCCTGTCTCAAAAAGTGTCCGCTCCCCCTCCCCCCAAAAAAGAGGTGCTGACTAGACAGCACATTAAGTAGAAACAACAAGCTAAGTAAGAATGCCTGCCATAGCGCAGGCACCAGCTCCCAAGAGTTGGGCAGTTGAATGCAACTCTCAGTTAAACATTTAAACAGGCTTAAGGCTCAGTTCTAACAGACCCAAGCAGGGCAGAGCCATCCGCCAGTGCAAAGTCACTTAACAGTTTAAGGTATGGCTCATGAGGCCAGGAAAGGCTAGAGACAAGGAGTAAAGACAGGTCCAGATCAGAAAAAGCCTCTGCACAGGTTACAGTGTGCATAAAAGTGTGCAGGGGATAGATAGTCAAAGGAAAAAATAAATAGTTTAAAAATAATAAATTCTTTAAAGAGAGAGTAAGATAGTATAAAAGAAAAAAGCGGGCTGGAGAGATGGCTCAGAGGTTAAGAGCATTGCCTGCTCTTCCCAAGGTCTTGAGTTCAATTCCCAGCAACCACATGGTGGCTCACAACCATCTGTAAGGGGATCTGGTGCCCTCTTCTGGCGTGCGGGCATACACATAGAAAGAACATTGTATACTTAATAAATAAATAAATATATATTTAAAAAAAAAGAAAAGAAAAGAAAAAAGCACATGTAAAGATGGGAAACACACAGGGACTCTGTATGCAGCTGTGTTGAGTTTTTTTTATGACAGCCGCTGGGAGACATGGGGTTGTAACAGGGATTGCTGAATTACCGGCCCAGATACTCCAGGGATGCCTTCATTTCAAAATGGAATTCAGAGAATGTATTGTGTTGGGGTGGGGGGCTATGCTTTTTTCCACACGAAATGAAAAGCTGTGGATTCTTTTAAGGTTAATAGAGATCAGGCTTGATTGGAAGAGACCTCCTGGAAATCCTGCCTACAGACAAAAGAAGCCAAGAAAAACCAAAACACAGATCACATATATGCTGATCTCTCTGCTTGGGAACAATTCTGAGACTGGACAACAAATGTTACAACTAGTTTTCTTTTCCAAGAATTTGACCATTAATCTCAGTTTTCTCAGGGTCCCCTGAGATACAGTGCAAGAGTGTAGGCGAACGTTCACACACAAAAGAAAGATAAATAACTCTTAAATGAAAGTAGAATGAGTTCCTGGTCATACTATATAGTTCATGGTTCACTAGATAGTTACTTCACTCCTGTATGGACAGATCCAGAAGGCTTTGGGCTGTGAGGAACTGTCAGTAACTGTCATTTTAGCACTTGGGAAGCTGAAGCAGGAAGACTGGAATTTGAAGTCAGCCTGGGCTACACAGCAAGATCCTGTCTCAAAACCAACCAATCAAGGTGGGTGTGATGGTGCCTCCCTGCCATCTTGAATCTAGGATAAAGTAGGACAATCTGTTGTGTGCTCATACCCTCAGATGGGCTGGAGAGATGGGGCAGTGGCTAAGCATGTGCACTGTTCTTTCAGAAGACCTGAGTTTGGTGCCCAGGACTCATGTCAGGTGGCTCATGATCACCTGGAACTCTGATTCCAGGGGAACTGATACCCTCTTCTGGTCTCCTTGGCACACACACAGAGGTATACACACATAAATAAAACAACATTGCCAAGTGGTAGTAGCACACACCTTTAATCCCAGCACTCGGGAGGCAGAGGCAGGAGGATCTCTGTGAGTTCCAAAACAGCCAGGACTATGTAGAGACAACCCTGTTTTAAAAAAAAAAAAATCAAAGACAATAAACCTTTTCTTAGAGATGGAGAGACGGCTCG